GCGACGCGCTTTCGGCGCGCGTGCTAATATGGCTGCGTCCGTGTAGTTTCCCGGGTAGCTCGTGCAGCGGCGCTGTTGTCACGAGTCCCTCCCTCATCGTCATAACCTCATACGCGGTTTTATTTTGCCTATCATGTTTTTCCAAACCGAATTCCGGTAGTTCTTACACCCACTTTTTTCACAAGCACCAGTTCTGCACTCTAATTAACTTCCTTGTACGAATTGTCTAGTTTTCTCGGAGATTTCGATCGTGCCCACGGTTCCGCTCTAGCTCCCTCTCCACCATCAATCACCGGTCCGTTCTGCCAGCATTAAAGCACTGCTGGGTCATCGGCAATCTCGAAACCTACAAAAATGATAAAAGCATAGGAAAAATTTGTCTGTAGCTGCAATTGTATAAATTAAGACGATTAAATTTCAATCGGGTCGCACTAACTCTATAGTTATTCTGGGATTAAAGTTTCATTGGCTTTGACATTGACACTATTTACGATATGATCATATTTCGCAGTTAAGTGGAAGGTAAATAGCGTGATAATAATAAACAAACGGGAACTATTTTTTAGCACATAAAACGAATCGACCCTACATAGAATGAAGCTAACTAACTTTTTGATTTCATAATATTCCACGTATAAGACATTATTAGGTTCCCTTTTATGGAGTCGATAGTTGATCTTAGCCCGTCATAGTCAATAGGCGATAGCAGTTCACGGTAATCGCTGGTACTTACACCATTAGTCCATCGGACAGATAGTCATAGTAATTTTGTATCACTTCTGTATCATCATCGTTCGAGCTCGACGTGCATCCGTTACGATTTAAAACGATGCAGACTCGACATTAAGACAAACATTGTTAACGCTAGGTTTACGGGACCCGTCAATTTCACGGATTTCGAACTTTGAAATGAAATATCTCAAAAACCATAGCACCAATTTTATCCATTTTGCATCGTAAATTAATCATTTCATCTAAAGAATCTATATACAAAATAATTTTTTCCTAGCCTTTCTAATTTTTCAAATCTGTATGTAGTATACCTATCTCTACGGGATCCGTCAAATTGACGGATAAACGAAAATACGCGTTTTTTTTTTAAATCGATTTATTCAAATTAGGTCCGAAAGGAATAATATTAGGCTTCACATTTAAATAAATTATTAATAAATAAAAAGTCTTTTTTTAAATTATCACTAAAAAAATAACAATAACATTAACGGTATAGGGTAATTATATCTACTGAGCACATTTTTCGCAAATATACTGAATGTTGTTTGTGCATTTTCCGCATACGATCTTTTTGTAATATATACAATAATTATTACTTCTATTTTTTTGTAATAACCCACTTGGCAACTTTTTCGCACTTCTGACGTTGAAGGTGACAGAAATGAAGCGTCTGATCTTTGGCAAATTTTCTCCTGGTTTTCTCCAGTTAATTCCTCGGCTAAACAAAATATGAATTCCTTTCTGGATATTTTCGATCTGGTGCACTCTTTACATAATATCCACGCGTTTATCGCTGCCAAATCCAAAATATTGAAAAAGACTTGAAGGGACCATCGGAAACTCCCTGCTTTCACACCATATTTGCGTGCCATTTGGTCAACGACGTTCAGGCCAAACTTTGTTTTATTGTAAAAAGTAATGATTTCTGGAATACGTTTATAATTATCTATTCGTACACCTGTATGTTTGGTGCTTAGAAGGAGGACTTTTATGTTAGGCTTACTTTTATACACAGCAAGCGTGCAGTTTTCTGATTTATATAAATTTGAAGAAAACAAAGTCATCTTGTTCTTTTTCCCCCTGAGCATAAAGTTTCATCTTTCCCTACATGAGGGAAACCATTAAAAATATATTTTGTTTTGACGTCAACTGCAAACCAAAACTTAATGCCAAATTTATGAGGGTTATCCAGCATATATCGCGTAAACCTGCATCGGGCTTTCGTTGGAAATAATTGTTTATCTATTGAGATATTTTCATATGACTTGTAACAAGCCTGGCTATTACTTATAAATCTGTTCTATATTTCGGATATCAGGGCAAATTTATCTGTTTGTAATCTTTCGGAGGCTTTCAATGATCTCGCTTCATACGCGCCCCGAGCATATAGAATTCTTAAAAAACTACGTGACTTCAGTGCAATTTTTTATGTGTTCCATTATGTGTCTGTCAATTATCAATTCGAAAGCACTAGTTACACAACCCGACATAATATTTCTCTTAGCATAGCCAGTAAGCCCTGCGATATCTTTGAATATCATAAGAACGGGCGTCCTACCCCTAGATCCGCCTGCTTTCAGTTTTATCCACTGTATCCCGTCAATTGCAATTTCAATTTCACCCATTACATTTTGGGATGTGCCTGGAATACTCGTCCTTTCAGCCTCGAAGTTAGAACTAGAAAAAATCCGCATCCTTTTCTTGTTATGACACACTTTCAAGAAGTTTTCCTCTTCACTATCCGAAGGTCCTTCTATCTCTCCACTTTCAGTGTAATGAGGACTTTCACTATCACCTTCTCTTTGGCCTAATTCATATTGATCTTCTTCGAAGGTATCCTCAGAACAATCTTCATTGATGTTGACAATTATGTGCAATATCTTATTATATCTCCTGGATTTACTCATAATTGCTAGAAAAGGGACTGATCAGAAAAAGAAAATACTGTGCCCAAATTCAATTATCCTATTGTAAATATTTGCAATAAGCGGAGACAATAATGGGAAATGTCTACAATAACTGAAACTTTTACACAGTCTTTGAAAAACGGTTTGTTTATGAAAGGTTAAGCCCGTCAATTTGACGGGAAATGATCAATTTACGATGCAAAATGGTTAAAATTAATGCTATGGTTTTTGAGATATTTCATCTCGAAGTTCGAAATCCGTCAAATTGGCGGCTCCCGTAAACCTAGTGTTAATGTTATTGTTATTTTTTTTGTGATAATTTAAAAAAAGACTTTTTATTTAAAACACTCACCTGAAATCTACTGACCTATGTGGAATAACGAATTGCGTCGATCAACGCACAAAGAAATGTGATTCTACTTAAAAGAAACGTAGTGTTTTCAATTTTTGTATATCCTTCCATATCTACCTACGAAGAAACTAATAATATGAAGTCACTTAGCTCTTGTTGGGAAAGTTTTTTAGAGAGTAAGTAATTTTGTAATATTTTACAATCACGATCGACGTTGCAGCTGCATTCTATTTAGATTTTGCGACACATAATTTCTTGACAATTTGTTTTCGCACGTTCGCGGGGAGACGCGCTCTCGAAGAAACGCGCCAACGGGAGTCGC